CTGTGTTGACAAAGAGCGCCAAAGGATCTTTCTGAAAAATCGAATTGCCGGATGGCAATTTGTGATTGATCCTGACTCTCGCTTTGTTGTAGCTGCGAAAGAGCACACCAACAATGAGTACAATACAGATAAGGCAGAGGTGGTGAGAGCCGCAATGCAACTGCCCAAGGTGAACCCCGACCTTCTGATCCATGATGATGCGTGTCATTTTGAGCAACGAGTAAAGCCCGAGAGAACGCCCAAGACAGCCTTCAAGCAAATCAAGCACTATGTCATCGATGGGTTCCATCGCTGTAACCACAAGTGTGCCAAAAGGAACCTCACCAAGACGGAAAAGCCTCGACTCCGCAAGGTGCGAACCAACATGTCTGAGGTTTTCAACGGAAGAACTTTGCCCTCAACTCCATGAATCCGACCAGCCATCGCTTGTGGGTGGAAGAGTCCATCAGGTTTTGGAACAACAACTTGAAGGAGATGCCGACCTACCAGACTCAACGCTCAACAACGGGAACCCGAAAATGACCGGAATCCACAAAGTAGCGTCGTCAAGCAGATGGTCTCTGCTGAGCCTGCGCGAGGAAGAAAATGAATAGTCTGCAAACCTGGTCCATTGGGAATGTGGAGTGTCAAGGAAGTCCAAAATTTAAAGAAAACCAAAAAAAAAAAAAGAACAAGTCTGCACAAACCATGGGGAAGAAGGGGTCAGGCGAACGTGACATTTTTGTGTGTTTTTCTTGGGATTGCCTTGGGGGGAAGGGGGAGGTTTAGCAGAATCAGCTTCTTTCATTTGCACAGAAAGAGAGGCAAGCATCTAAGAAAGCAATGAAAGAGACAGCGTTCAACTGAGAGAAGCCAAACACATAGAAGATACCCGTGTAAAAACGCGCCGCTGAGAGCGCTCCTTTCTGATATATACATATATATATACTGTATGTGTTATACATATATATATATGTATATACATATATACAAAAATATATATATATATGTATATGTATATATAGTGTGTGTATGTGTGTACGTGCATGCTGCTCACCGAGAATCTTGTTTAGCCTTCGGATCTGATCCTCGCTTCCTTCTTCTCGCCGTGGTGAGCTGCACTCTGCAGAGCGAGCTCGCGGAGAGGCTCGTGGCGAGGCTCGTTCTTCCGGCTGCTCTTCACCTGAAAATGCTTCACTTTCAAATCAAATGAAGCCTTTTCAAGATGAATTCTTGTTCAGCCTCCAGTCTTTTTATCTTTGAAACCCTTTTGGTGGGGAGTCAAATCACACCTACGGAAAGCCTTCAACCTTCAGTGTTTCCCGGAATATATCGATAAAAGTACAAAGTGTTCTTTGGCAAATGCTTGCGGCTTGCGCCTTCATCAAAGGTAATAAAAGTATTCCTCACGCACACCCGCATCCTTCCATCCATGGCAAATATGAGCTAGGCTCTATGATTGGAAAACTTTTGAGTGTGATTCAAAAGTTTGCAGAAATCTGCACAACCAGGATGCATGACGGGAAGAGCTGCTGACCTGAGTATCCTATTTCCTGCTTCTACAATGCAAAACATCAATCACAAACTCATGGCCACCAATGGTAGCTCATCGATTCTTGCAAAAGACGAGTTGGCGCAACTTGTGTCTGCTGAACAGGAATTGACAGCGACTTGACAGCTCTACTTCTGTTGAGCCTGTGACAATGGAATTGGAAGGATGCGTCTGGCAATCACATGACGCATGTTATCATTTAACAACTCACCCTTCAATATGTTATATACATATATATATATATATTATATATATATATAAGTTTCCTTTCAACTTTCAACTTTCAACCAAACTGACAATGCAATGCGTCCCTACTTTATACGGTAGTTGCTGCTTTAGTCTACCAGCTACCCTGATACCAGCTACCCATGGTCTTCACGGCTTACTCCTCAGAGGAAGAGTTTGCCAAGTATCTCCAGCCAAGGCAGTGTCTGCAAAGAAGGGTCCTGCACAACTCACAAAATGGGTGACCACATGGTCCCACTGGGTCCCACCACCACCTGTCCTCTGCAACGAAGAAATATGTCGCACACTCCATGTGCCTCAAATGCCCCAAAGTGTTGATTATTCAGATTCATTATTCCATCTCTGGAAGCAAACTTCTACCTCTCCAAGCAAGCTATCCTCGAAGGAGTCCCGCCTCAAATTGCCCTCCTCTGTCTTGAACTGCACGTTGATGTTCTGCCTTGCTGCAACAAATCATCATTCCAGGAAGTGTTATCCAAAACCCTTCTGAGCTTGTCTAGTCTCCTGAACTTACCAACCACAAAATTCATAGAAACACAGCTAAGCATGGAGCCACGCCTGCGGTAGCGGCCCCGGTGAACACCTTCTAATAGGTCCATAGCCTTGAGGGTGCTTTCATCGATCAAGTAGACCTCACAAACGTGGTCTGAAGCCTCTGAAGCACTGTATGGAGTGCCTTCTAGGTGGAAGCATAGAACAATCATTCTTGCACCTCGCCCATGACATGGCACCCTTTGCCAGCCTGGAGCACAAGCGAAGGCTCATAGCCGACATTCTGATCAAAGCTTCTTAGTCTTGCCACAATGACCAACTCCAGATGGAATCTGAGGGTGCAATGGCAACATGTGCAGGAACTGTGTGTTGTTGTTCCTGTGTTGTCTTGATCTTGTCCAAAGACTTCCACTGCCTCATCCAGCAGCTGTGGTGCTCCAGAACTGCCAGTCTGATTGGGTGGTCGAACCTGGCAGCATCTACCTTCATGTCATTGCCGAGCCTTTTGGGCTTTTGGACCTTGGGGCCTTGCAACGCTTTGTCATGTCTTTCTGAAACTGAATGAAAACACGTTCTGGCAAGTTTTTGAAAACCTCCATGGACTCCATGGGTATACCAGTCGCTTCCACAGCTCCTCAAGACATAGACACGGAAAAACCTGAAGAAATTGTCAGGGCTCCACACCACCATAGGATAGCTGTCGATGGTGAGGCCATCTCCAACAAAAACTGCCTGCGGTTTCACCCTTCGACTCAAGTCGGGAAAAAAGGGCTAGAATGCTAGACGTCATTTTTCAAGCCCAAGGGGGGGTGTAGGCCTGGACCAGGCACTACGTGCCAGCACGCACTTTCTGCTCAGGCTTCAAGGAAGCTCCCCCGAGGCCGGAGGGCTTCCTTGAAGAACCCCTTGGATTTGGTATCTTAGCGGTAGGAGATTGCAAAAGCTGGCGGTGCTCAAGCACGCCTTGCCCTCAGATTCTGCAAGGCCCAAATACCTGTTCAATACCATTGTCAGCAGCTGTCCTTCGTTGAAGAAACCAATCACTTTTGCCTGGAGTAGTTGAAGAAACCTCTCTTAAGGGTGCCATAGACGAAGATAGCCTTGGCAACCAGCACGATGCACAGGCTTCCTTGGCACCCTGGATTGACGCAGCAAGACTCCTACTTTAACCCAGTTTGTGGGCAACCAGTGGATCGTGGCTGACTTAGAAATACTACTAGTAGCAAATAGCTGCTAGTAGCTTCTTGCTATATACTAATAGCGATGCACTTGTTACTAATAGTGATGCACCTGTTACTACATGGTGGTCAGTGTGCTATCTTGCAATGGTATCAAACAGAGCTGCATTACTTGACCCCATCCCTCTAGGGATTCGCACAAGCTGATTCACCGCAACACATGATATACCGGATGTACCATATGCTTACCATATGACCATATGCAAATTTGAACCTGTTCTTCTTGCTGCAGTTCTTTCAATATATAGTGGCTACCTTCACGATGCAGTTGAGAATCACAAGGACAAACAAATCAGGATCTAAGACCAAAAACAACAACAGCAGCATCTTCGATTGAAGAATTTGCTTCTTCACGACCTAGGAGCAGTGTCGTTGTCCTGCTGGCCGCACATTCTGATTGGCTTGGCCTGGTGATACGACAAAACACTGACATGAAAAAAACACTCTGTCTTGCCAGAGTTCTTCCCCTTACAGGTGCGAAACAAAGCGAAACCATGTGCTGAGAAGAAAGCGTAGGTTCGTGTCAAATCCAGTCAAGATCCTGATACTCACCCTTCACAAAGATTGCCTTTCAAGCCAGGCTCAGGTGCAAGCAGAGCTCACTACTCACTACCCTGGAGAAAGAGAAGCTGCATGCTCAAGTCCTGAACCCAGGATGTCGATGAAAGCCCTATTAGACCTATGAGCGGCTGCGGTAGTCAGGATTGAAAAGAACTCGACTGTTTGAGGGCCGGCCTGTCAATCCATCTTTTCCTCTCTGCTCTCATTCATCCAATTCCCCAACACGTAGACACCCATCAAGTGTCAGCTACTTCGCAAGAGTTGACACTACCTCTTTTTGTTGGCCCTCAGACAATCCAATTCAGCCGCCTTTGGTGAATATGGTCTGGGGTTTTGACTCAAAACTCAATGCAGGAGTCAATTGCAGGTGAGTGACTCTAAGTGACCATATAGCCTGCAGCCTAATAGTGATGGCCTCCAACTATGCACACGACCTACTAGCGATGTCCTCCAAATCAAACAACAATTATATAACCTGTGACTCTTGACTTGCGCTCAGACCTTCAACGCAGCGCCCATACCCCTGGATGCCCCTTCACAATGGTGGGATACAGTGGGGTAAACCACAAAAACAATATGATTCTATCCGAAATGGTGCACTGCTCTTTCCTCCAAACCCGGTTAAAATCTATGTGCTGGACTTGAAGTGTGCATTTGTCATTGGACCGAGGACATCGTGGGCACAACACCTAACCTTGAAGTGGATCAAAGAAACTAAAGGTCTTTGCCGCCTTGTCTAAATGTTAAATCCTCAAATGCTTCTGGACAGCTCATTTTGTCTTCGCTTCGCTCTCTTTGGACAAGTTGCTTACAATCGAACTAATGACTAAGACTGAGTCATTGCACAAGGTGAGACGACTGTGTGCCTCACGAGCTAACGTTGTCTGGAAACATCAAATCAACTCAAAAAGACGAGATTCTGATAACTTGAAGTGGAGAGCTGCTGCATGAAGGCTCTTGTTTCCAAGTCTTTTGCTGTCTTCTGTGTGTGTGTGAGACTAAGACTCCTTCAGTCCATCAACCAATGCCTCGAGTTTGAACATAAGGTCGTGTATACAAGTGGTTTAGACGCAAATTGTGAAACAGCAAATGTTCTGTCACATCCGTGCCAGCTGAGAGGAAAGCGACAAGTATCTTCCTCGTAGACACCCTCCAAAGGGAGAAAACCTGTGTACCTTGCCAAATATCCCTGGCTGTTGCTATTTACTCGAAGCAATGGACCAATCAGCACCACGAACTCACAGCAAAAGGCAATGCGTTTGCATACCATGCATTTACATGCGCTGCATTGCCTACATGCAGGATTGAGAGCATAGCCAACAAATAGCCAAGCATGGGAAGAACTTCACCCTTTTGATTTCTTGGAAGTGAGACCATCCAACTCTATCCGACCTAAGCCTCATTGGACCCTCATCCCAAATCAAGAAGCTGACTTGACGGCGGATTTGTCAGAGGTCGAGCGCTTCTGGTATTGCAGCTTGTATGACCTTACGAATGTAAGGAACAAACTATATAAGGCCAAGTCAACACAGACTCGTCTGCAGGGGCCGAAGCAGTGTCTTGATTGAGGCTGCGGCGGGCCATACTGAATGTTGCCAGCTACAACTGGGGGATTTGCAACGCCTCACACACAGCTCGCTAGTTGTCTGCAACACGAGCAAACCGCCGTAGGGAAACTTAGCCGCTCACTGGTCATCTGCGGGCGAGAGACATTCGGCATAAACTGGCCTTGCATTGCCATTGGTGGGCCTTCAAGCACATGTTGGACTCACAAGTCTATTAATCATTCAATGAGGACAAGCCTTGAGAAGAAGTTCCGGGTGCGCCATACCCCATGCCTCCACCTCCAAGGAATTGTGCCAAGTTCGTACTCGTACCTTTATAAAGTAAACCAGCCCTCAGTTAGGGCGTCACAGTTCTTTTGCACCTGTATCGCATTCCGTGCACTGTACATATGACTTGCTTCAAACGCCGCGATTTGCGCAAGTATCGAACTGTGCAGCACAAAAGTGCTTCTGTACGATTGCATTGGCATCTGGATTGAGCCATACAATCTTTGCCCAAGAGCAAACCCACAAGGCATGATATTGACTGTCAAGAGTTTAGAGGGCAAAGGTTGGCAGCTATACAGATTAAATTAACAAGCTCGCGAAGAGGGCAACCAGTTTGAAACTGGCACCACATTTCGTCTATGTGTATATATATATGTGTAACCCATTCACTGCTACCACTTACCCACAATCCGCGCACAGCCCAGCGTTCGAACGCTTGGCATCACACACGAAAATCGTCTTGTCACAATCGGCCAATGGAAACGCCCTTCCTTGCAAGCGTTTCTCGTCCGGTGAAAGCGTTTCTCGTGCTTGCGATGTGTGTTCTACAGCAAAGGTTATTCTGTGTATACATAGTTTGCGGAAAAAAAAAACAAACAAAACAAAAAAACATAGCACTTTTTGGGATACCATGGGGCCAAAAAAGATCATCATCAACATCATCATGAACAAATGTTCAACAATGTGTGAGTGTGTGTGTGTGTGCCTGCGGTGGCAGTGCTAGGGCAGCATCAACAGCAGCAGACAAGCAAACCAGCAGCAAACCAGTCACCAAAAGACCAGCAGACCAGCAAGCAGCACAGGCAAAAGCAGGAGCAGCAGCAGCGCAGCAGCAGGAGCAGCAGCAGCGGCGGCGGCAGCAGCAGCAGCAGCAGACCAATCGCAGACCAGCAACCCAGGAGCAGACTAGCAGCAACATCAGCAGATCAGCACCAGCAATCGAGCAGCAAGCTAGCAGCAACCCCCCGCGGCAGTAGCAGCAACTGATCAGGAGCAGTAGCAGCAGCAAATCAGGAGCAAAGCCGCTGACTCTGCACATCTTGAGTTGCAATTGGAACGCACATCCAAAGGAGCATTTCCAAAAGGATGGTTCGCACACAGTTTCAAAGTCCAAAGCAACACTGTACGGATTCATACATTTCAACCCAATCTGTTTGTCTGTTTGAAATCTTTGAAGGCCATTTGCCATGCCTTTGAAGGCATCTTACCTCTTCAAGGACCAAAACACTATAGAACAGCTATTTGCAGCATTTTTGAAACACCAGTCAAAACCATAGGCTGTGTCACCCTACCTTCAAATCCAAAGCTATTTGCGAGCTATTTGGCCTCTTGAACGTGGCGGCGACGTTGGTGACAGCAGCACAAAAGCACTTTAAATGACAATGTTACGTCCCAAAAAGGCTTTGTAATGAGTCTGCAAGCCTGCCACAAAAAAGGTGGACCTACGAGTAGGGGGAAGCGAAGATTCACCACTTGGAGGTCAAAAGTCTTTGCACACCACCGCCTCCCCCACCTCATACATTTTTTATAAGGCACGGAGAAGTCAGGTAGCTAACCGGTTCAGTTTTGTCTTCGTGCAGGTTTCCTGTCAAGTAACTCCGAATCCAAAGTGCATAGGCTCCAAGCGTCTGTCTGCCTGTTTGGTTTGTGATTGCCTTATGTACCGGTCCAATGCTTGCACCTACCCCCTGAAAAATAGGATAAGCTAAAGCTTTTGCCGCTGAGACTCTTCTGACATTTGTTGCCTTGGATTGAAAGCTTGCAGCAAATGTTGTGTCACCTTTCTGCATGCAGTGGGAACATGTAGCAACTTTTCCACAGGATTTTCTACCATTCCATGTGCCACTAGTTAACCACATCACAAAAAGCCTCAAGGTGGGTCCCATTGAAATTGAAGCATTGTCCAGTATCGAAGCGTTGTCCAGTGTCATTTGAAACATGATACAAAGGGATAAAGCAAAAATCAACCTGGCAACTTTCAAGAACATCAAGTCGCCAGGATCAAGAGGCGAGCCAAGGGGACCTGGTGAGGCTAGGCTAGGAAGCACAAAGCCTTGGACAAAGAACAGGAAACAAATCATGTGTGAGTGTGTGTTTTTGTTTTTAGGGGGGCTAGGCCGTTAGAAGAGGTGAGGTAGGTTAGCTAGACTACTAGAGGTAGCTAGTAGAAGCAAGGTCGGTATATAGCTAGTAGCTTAGGTAGCTACTACCTAGGACGCACTAAGGTTCCTAGATTTTTAGGGAAACTTAACAAAAAAAACCTCTTCTGAGGCCCTAGCCTGATGGCAACGGAAAGCTGCTCCTCAGTCTTGTGCAAAGCAATCTCACGAGCCTGGTCAAACCTCTCTTCACAAGAGAAAAACTATGCAACAGAGCTTCACTGGACTTCCCACAGGAAGCGGGGAAAGACTCGCGATCAAGTTAGGCTTGACCTGCGAACACCAGAGCCATCAATATTCAAAACATGTGCGACCAATGTGCAACCAATCTCAAACGTTCACACATGTGCGACCAAGGCCCTCCGTGCCTGTGCCTTCTCATCGATCGGCAACGGTTCAACCTGAAGTTGCTACGGCCCAGCCCTAAGACCGGCAATTCTTCATAAACCCATAGCTTGCAGGCAAGCTGCTGAGATACCTCGTAAACCTCATGATAGCGCATTTTTTGTGCACTTCGGAATTACTCTAGCTGAGACAGAAACTTTATAGACCCTAAGCAATCGACCTGAATACTCAACATTGGTCATGTCGAAACCCAGGTTCCGCTCAACCTGTGCTGACAAAACTTCCAGCATGTTGACAGGAGTCCTTCTTTAAGTTTCGATTTGGCAAGTTCTGGTGAGACATTCTGTCTCAAATGCCCAGTTGCCACCATTGTTGGATGTCTTCAGGTGGATTCATTGCTATGCTACAAGTCTCTGGGAAATGACTAAACACTGTCCAACCAACAAAATCAATCAAATTTGAAGAAGAAACATAGGGCGCATTCAAGCAGCTGGAGCATTGACGCTGTTGTCTCCCTCATTGATGCTTGCGGAAGCAGCTTGGTCATGAACATCCGAATCCTAAATGATTCGATTGTGCAGTAAGAACCAAATGCAACGATTCTTACGCCTTGTGTGCCAACACATTCTTCGATCCACCTTGAAAGCAGCTCTTGCCAGCGCTTGCCAGCGCAACGCCATTGCAAGCAGGTTTCAAGCAGTGCCGAGCGAGCTTGATGTAGCTTCGCAGCCAACAGCTGAGTCACTCACTTCGAAACGATCAAGGGACAGGAACTACCGCCGAAAAATTAGCAAGGTCTGTTCCGATATTGATGAACGCTGGCGATTCCTCATTCAAGCCCCGTCGCAGAGACCCCAGATAGCGGGTGCATATACTGTATAGTCCTGGGCATGACATGATGTCATTCTGGGCATGACATGATGTCATCCCTCGCATGACATGATGTCATCCTTGGACCAGCACCAGCACTAGCACCGCAACAGCACCCGCAAAGCGAAAGCACCAGCACCAGCACGAGAGCAGCACCCGCAAAACGAAACGCCGATCCAGAGCCAACACCTGCACCAGCACCAGCATCAGCACGGCAGCACCCGCAAAGCTAAAACACTGATCCACAGCCACAGCCAGCACCTACACTTGCACCAGCTTCAGCAGAGCAGCAGCACCTGCAAAACCAAAACGCCGATCCACAGCCAGCACCTGCACCAGCATCAGCACGGCAGCAGCACCCGCAAAACCAAAACGCCGATCCAAAGCCAGCACCTGCACCTGCACCAGCATCAGCACGGATGCAGCACCCGCAAAACCAAAACGCCGATCCAGAGCCACACCATGGAGAAGTTAGAACCCCTATAAACTGAGTTATCTGGGGAACAACAGTATATAAATTACGCAAGCATCATAAGCCCCCAAAAATTACACCAGCATAGACCCAGATAGCTAGGCAGAATCCCACGTCCCGTTGACATGCGACTGGCTGGAACAATGTACGCAGCCTGCACAGCCAGCTTACGGCACCTCCACAGCGCGCACAATCAGCTGACACCAGCACAGGTGCGCTTTGCCAGCTGACAACACCGGACCGGCAACGGCGCCAGCACCCGACCAGCGCCGCAGCCCGTCTTGAACCCGCGCTCAGCCAGCCCACAGCACCAGCACCCAGGACCACAACACCAGCACCAGCACCGACACCCTTTCGAAAGCGCGCGCAGCCAGCTCATTCTTATTTGCAGCAAGAACCCCATAGTTATCCCTATTTGCGCAATAACAACGTATGATCTTGCGCGTGTGCGCACAAAAGTATGCGCGCAAACAGCAAAGCCCGTAAGTGTCATTGGCCCAAGGCCAAGCAGTATCCAGCGCCACTATTGACTTTGTAGCATGCTTGAAGCAACGATCTGCAGAACGATAAGGCCGTATGATCTTGCGCGTATAAGTTTATGCATGCAAAAGTATGCGCACAAACGGCAAAGCCCGTAGGCGCCCAAGGCCAAGCAGTATCCGGCGCGACTATTGTGCGTGTAGCATGCTGAAACATGCTGAAATAATGGTAGGTTGAGAGCCTGACGTTGCGCATAGAACATTATACATGCAAAAGTATGTGCGCATTGTCCATTGAAAAAAAGAACCCCATAATGGTCCCGTTCTGGGGAACAAAAATCCTCTCGGCCAGGCACACAGCCAGCACCCAGCGCCGGCGCCCGGCACCCTGTCTCCACCACGAGCACAGCCAGCAGCACCCTGTCTCCACCACATGCGCAGCCATCTCACAGCACCGGCACCGGCACCCGGCACCCAGCACCAGCAACCTGTCTCCACCACAGCACCAGCACCAGCACCGGCACCCGGCACCCAGCACCGGCACCCGGCACCAGCACCAGCAACCTGCCCCCGCCACGTGCACAGCCAGCTCACAGCACCAGCACCAGCACCGGCACCCGGCACCCTGCACCAGCACCGGCACCCGGCACCAGCACCAGCAACCTGTCTCCACCGCGTGCACAGCCAGCTCACAGCACCAGCACCAGCGCCAGCAACCTGTCTCGAAAGCGCGCACGAGCAACTCATTGTTATTTGAAGTAAGAACCCCATAGCTTCGCTATCTGGGGAAAAACAAAGATTGGTCAGTGTAGTCCGCACATTTCAGGGTGTAATGCATACGCTCAAGGAATATCTGTGTACAATATCTTTCTTGGCATACCCGTGCTCATTGACACTGTGAGTGTGAACCAATAGCGGTTTGAGTCAGTCAGTTTGAGTTTGCGAGGAACTCTGGGGTAGTGGTTACATGTAAGTTACATCATATTGCAAGGCTTGTGCGCATGCTTTTAGTACACATACACATACATGCGCAACGTCATACGGTGTCATCGTTTGAGGAGCATCTGTGTATCTATATTGGTATACCCGTGGTCATTGACTCGTGATTGGGAACCAAAAGCGGATTGAGTCTACGAGGAACTCCGCAGTAGCGCTGTGTCGTATTTTGCATCTTCTAGTTCTGCTCAGCTTTGCCCGAACTGTTTGCGCGCTTACTTTTGTACGCGACTTACACGTGGAACATTTCAGGGTGTAATGCATACGCTTGGGGAACATCTGTGTATCCTTTTGTATACCCATGATCACCACCACAACAAGTGCTGGCACCCAGCACCCAGCACCAACACTATAGCACCCAGCACCAGCACCCAGCACCGGCACCCTGTCTCCACCCTGCACACGGCCAGCTCACCAGCACCAGCACCGGCACCCTGTCTTGACAGCACGCACAGCCAGCTCATTCCTATTTGAAGTAAGAACCCTGTAGCTCTCACTATCTGGGGAAAAGCAGAGCCAACCAGTGGTTTGTGTAACAGTTACCCGCATTAAAACGCGAGATTTCCAATCGCATATTCAGTATCTCAGCGTTCTTGATCTTATTTGCAGACTTTCAGCTTGTGGTTTTGCTTTTCCTGGATCCCCATGTCTTAGTGCTTTTTACATGGCCAAGTTGGCAAAAAATATCTTGGTTCTGATTCTGGCTGACAACATCTTTGTGGATGTGAGATGGTAGTGGTAGTATGAGGTTCAGATCCTGCTTGCTCAAAAGAATAATGTAAAGAGTCTGACACGTGCCAAGTTCTGCTTGCTACCGCTGACATTGGAGACACCCAAGACCCTTAAGGGCACCATGCTTACAGTGACAGCAAGGGTGCTAGATTCAATTCCATATTCTATAATGTAGGACACTTCGGCAAAACTCCAGGCATCACAAACACCTCTCCAAGCCTGGCATTGCTGGCATGGACCCCATGTTTGGCATGGAGTTCATAGGACCTCTGTGGAGGAGAACAAGAATCCATTCTGCACGTTTCAACGATTGTCAAATCCAGAGCTCACAAATTCTCATACATACTTCCTTTTTCAATCATCAATATAGATCACTGATATAGATCAAAAGTTCCATGTGTCCATTGGTCCAAATCCGTGGCAATTCAAAACAAAAACAAAAACCGCCGTTGAGCAAGTTTTCCGTCCAGCAAGAATCGCCTGGCTGAAAGCCTCCCTGAATGGAAGCAGCTGACATCGGTGGACCGCTCATTGGCACTCCTTTCAACTTCAAACCTATTCGCCACACAATCCTTCTCAAAGTTCTGTCACAAACCTCAACACACATTTGCAAATTAAATGGAAAACTGCTGATAGCTGTCCTCCAGGCATTCCAGTCCTTTGCATGCTCTTCAAGCTTCGAACACAATCGAATTGCTTCTGAAGTCTGAGAAGTGTACAAGAGGATAAAGTGAGACAGCACATCCCAGGAAAAAAAAGAAGTCATTCCCTCAATTGCAAAGGACATCTCTCAATCAAACATAACGTATGTAGACTCTTTGTTCATAAACACACGCATCTACGAGAGCCATGGACAAAAGCCAACACAAATAGACTTACATGGCTACAGCGATAGGAAGACACCAAATCCACAGAGCCACAAACTCTGAACCTGCAAGGTCTTTACTGAACAAAAAAGATCCAAAGCCTTATATGTCAACTAAATATAGTAATCAATGACTCAGCTATGTTTACATACTGTTTCTTTTGCTACACAAAGAAGAGGTCTTGAAGTCAGTCAATTCGCCTCTACGATCCGCCTTCTTACGTGTAGGCCCGGACAGGCCCGGAGGGGCCAGGTACGTGATCAAAAGGAAGTAAGTAAGTAAGTAAGCAAGTAAGCTAGTAATGGCCATAAGCTAACGAAGCATCAGCTAGTAAGCGAGTAAACATTAGTACACTAGTAGCTTAGTGTAATGGTAATGACTCAAGTAATACAGTAGCTTAAGCAGCTTCAGTGTAGCTAGTTCGCTAGGGCGGTTCAAGGAAGCTCCACTCGCAGGATTGATCTGGTTTCTACCCTTGCTTTTAATGAAAAGTGAGTATCCAGTGGCGTCCTGCCTCTAAGTTCAGGATCATATACGTAGTAGGATCTTGGGATGTTGGCATCACATTTGCGCATCTCTAAAGCACTTGATCAGCCCAGCCTACATATGCACACGTCTACGTCTGGGCTCTTAAGACAAGTTACATGTGCAGCGTACTTCACAATGTTACCCACCTATATAGATTTAAATGGTTTCCCTTCTATCAATGCAACTGCCATGTCATTCAACTACCTGTGACATTGAAGTCTCTCTTCATCTGTTGTTGAAGTAGAAAAGCACTGAGAACCTCATTTGCAGAAATTCTGAATGCTCGTGCAATCTATAGTCACGGACAGCCAGTAGGCAGAAAGATTCCTGCTTACCACAGCTGCTCGGGGTTGTTTTTTTGGGGTTTTTGAGCGGACCTATATATAAGCCTAGATTTGGTCAGCCAGGCTCAAGGGGTAGTAAGCAGAAAAGTGTGTCTATCAAACATGTTGGGTGCTATCTTGTGAAAGCCTTTATCGAGATATGTATATATATATACATACATACACATTCAAAGAAATGGGACAAGACTATGACGTCGGGATAAAATGATTTGAGGACACATTTTATTTTGTCTTTGATTCTAGCACCCGCCATGTGTGATCCCTCGGATCCTATACTACAAGCCCACCAGTGGGCACACTGCGCAGTTGCTCATGTAATTGGGACACATGAGCATCCAGCGATATATGGGGACCGGGATTGAATGAAAACAGCCGTTGGACTCACGTCTGATACTTTGCAGGGTAGTAGGCATGAATGCTTGCTGCTTACTACTGCAGCACGTGCTGGACGAGACGACAAATGCATTGATAAATAACAATTCCTTCTCCTTTTCCTTTCTTCTCCTTTTATTTGCCAGTAGTAGGACCAGGACAGGTAGTAGGACAGGACCCAAAGGACCTAGGAAACTTAGTAAGGAACAAGGATTAAGGAACATGAGTCAAAGCAAAGCAATAGCAACTATGAAGCAAACAAATATGTACATCTTGAGTGAGGAGCTCTAGTAAGCAGAAGCAAACAAATATATACATCTTGAGTGAGGAGCTCTAGTAAGCAGAGGATTTGAGTGAGGGGGTTTCAAAATTTACCGCCCGGTGAAATTATCTGCTTAATTTTTGGCTAGGTTCCGTTCCTGCCTACTACTTGTCTTTGACTATATATATCCAAAACCCTCATACAACTTGGCTGAACGTCTGAGCGTTCCTTCCTGAGTCTGTTTGTACGGCAAGGCTTTCCTCTCTCCCTTGAATGTATCATTGATTCCACTCATAGTAGTGTTGTTGTTGCGGATTCTGTTTCAATTCATTGCTCTTCACCACAGAGCAGCTTGCTGCAAGTATTCTGTCTGACTCATTTCATGTTGATGGTTTTCAACCTGAAAATCGCGCCGACCGTGTGCTATCCTGCATAGCCTGAATGTACCAATCAATATCAATCCCAAAAAATTAATCGGACTATAAATTATAAATCTAACCTTCAAAGAGAGAGGGGCATACGTGCAAACTGAGGCCAATGCCCAGGGACAGAAGTTCTGGGGACGTTGCCCTTGGCAAAAAACATGCAAAATAAAGCAAGTCAAAGGGAAGCATTCTGGTTTCATCCTGCTTCAGGCATGTCAATATCCTTGTCCAATTCTTTCAGCTGTGCTTTGACTCGTTCTTGTCGTTCTATCTAACCACTCAGTCCAGATCCATTGATCCGAAGTTGGTCATCGGTGGTGCTCCGCCCTCCGTGAGATTGACATCAGCAAATAAAATCCTTGCCCCTGCTTGGTGGAGTTACCACACCAATCGTATATATAGATATATATGTTTTTTTGGTTGATCATGCTCCCTACTGCAAGATGGATCCCTGCTTGTTCACCAGTGCCTCCTTATTGTGAGATCGCGACCAAGAATTGATACTGGACAAACAAGTGATGACAAATCACCAAAAGTTGTATGAAAGTACAATTAAACCTACAAGTGCATCACCCAAAAGAATGCTCACCACCACGGCTACGGTTTGCCCAACCTGCAGCCCGCCAACTTGAGCAGGCATCTCAGTCGGCGAAAGAAAAGCGATACCAAAATTTCAGACCGAAATGCCCAATCTTCTGCACCCATCTGGACAAAAGAATAAATTTGCAAAGTCAACTCCAAGCCCATCGCACTTTGGAACTGAGGCGGTGCTCTATTTGCACTTGTCGGCCTGGGGTTTGCAGGAACATGATTGATTAAAAATCCAATGTGTTACAACAAGGAGATCAGGAGATCTGCAAAACAAGGGTTCAAACGGCATCATGGGCATTGACTGCATGATGACAGCCTCGCAAATTCAAAAGGGAACGAAAAGAAGGTACAAGGAAAATGAACAAACGACATAGATTGATTGACGATCAAATGAGTGGATACAAAAATCTTAGAGCCCACTGAAGAACCTCGGATTCAGGCCGTTTCTCTGGTTCGGAGTCTTCCAAGTTTGAGGCTTGAAAGAAGCAGCGCAATTGCCAAACGCATCATGCACCAATCACTCCAAGAACATTGATGTTTGTATATAGCACAATGGTACTGACCTGTAATGCAGAAGGATGGTCTTAAAATACTCAACCACATGTTTGTCATCAAGAGTTGCGAGTGAGTTTTGACCTCTGCGCAACCATCAAACACATTTAGAATCGCGCAAACTATGTCTTGGTTGCCCTTGGTGTGCTTTGCTGTGCAAAATATTTCATCACCCTGAAGCGTCATAACACAACTACAAAAATGTTTCGGCAGCAGAGCCATGGCAGATTGCAAGTCGCCGATATTTGGATGTTCATGTGCCAACAAATTTGGAAACGCGATTCCAGCAATTGCGGGTCCCAGCAACTCAGCATGCACGCTCTTCCGATTGTCAATTTTTCCAAGTTGAACGCTCGGCCTTTTAGCTCTCGAGCCAGTGCATGTCCACATCTCGATTTGTGCGCGTTTTCTTTGCATGGCGTGTCTTTACTACATGTTGACACCGCCCATGAAGCATACCTGCACATTCCTTACATTGAAAACTCTGTTCGCTTTGATAAATTTTGTGTTTTTAAGAACTCGCTTGACATGACATAACCGTGTCGGGTTCGCTTATGCATTTTGTTATGGGCTCTTGTTGCGTTGGACATCTGCAGCAATACATTTGGGATCTTTGTATATATGCTGTAAGTACATCTGCAGCTTGCATGTGTGGTCTTCTGGAGCTGCTGTTGCGGAGGTGCTTGTACATTTGCGACCTATATGCAAATGTATGTATGCTACAATAGCTATGCTGCAGGCACCCCTGCAGTTTGCAAGTATGTAGGGTTGTTGCTACACCAGCATTGCTTTGGTGTTGGGCCTTGATTTGGTGAACTGCTTTGGTGCGGGAACCTTGTTTGGGTGATTGTTTTGATGCTGGGATCTTGCTTGGATAATTTTCGTTGGGATTGTGCTCAACTAAAGTCATCTGCAAAGTCAAATCTTAGCTTTCGTTGGGGTCTTGCGTCAGTAAACACATATGCAAAAGCAACAAATGTTAACATAGAGTTAAAACATATGTTTGCTCGGGCGGAGGCCTTGGCCAGACAGGGCTTGCGAAACGTGACCCTCTGCGGAGATTGTGTGTCAACCCCTGTTTCCAAGGGCTCTACCGTATTGATCTTCTTCGATTTACTCCTTCCTTTTGCAGAGTTTACACATTGTACAGCAGCAGGGGGCACGGCGGCCGTTCACCTAGCCGTGCTACCAAAGCTATGGTGTTCGGTTGGATGAGATACTGGACGCAGTATCTTGTACCTGCATCAAAGCAATCTCGAAACACTATGTTGTAATGTTTAGTTTGTTGTATGGCTTCCCAAATGTGTTCTTCCAGGAACTCTTGCGTGACTGGGTGCACGAAGTCCACTTCGCAACCAAAGACCTCTACCTCAGTGACGGAGGCAAGGTGATCCACAATATGCTCTTCAAAGTCTTCAAATCTGTCATGTTGAGCAATGCTAGTGGACACTTGGACTTCTTTACCAGACAATGTGGTGAGCACTAGCCGGCAGTCCATGGTTGCGTCACTCTCGTCTGAGCTGGCCGTGCCCGAAAACCAAGGAGTCACCATTGAAGGGGCAGCCTGCTGAGAATTTCGCTAGCGACGGATTGATTTGAGCCAGCTCAATTTTGCAGTCAATCTATTCTCTTGCGTCTCCTATATTGGAATCAAGGTTGAAAAACCCCTTACCCTTGATCATGAGTATCCGACCCGTGAGGCTGAGGACAACCTAACATGACAATGCTCTGTTGCTCAAGCCTCTGTGCCCATGACGAGTGCTAAGGCGCTCACCAGGGACAGACTGTGCTGTTATGTGTCACACTAGTCCTCATGGTGCAGCCCTTTGTGTAGTTCTTCGTCAAAGGCATCGGAGTCGGTTTCTCTCGGTGGGAGCAACTCCACAGGTGCAGGGTGTGTGCAATTCGGACGGAGCCTTTGCCGAATGTTGCTTGCTCAGTGAAATAGGAGTGGCAAGGAAACCACTAACGCACTTGCCCCAGGAGCACAGATAGCGCCTTTTGCTGCTTGGCATTAACGACAATCGACTTTGAAATGTCTAGTGATGCCAGCTCACGCGCTCTTCCTGATGGTTGTTTCTGTGGGGCAGGTCTTGAGAGTCTGCGACTCCCGCCAGATTTCAACTTCATAGGGCCAATGGCATGTGAGAACTGCAAGCGATTAATAGAAGTGGATCTCATGTGCACGGATATCAGGGCCATTTGGGGCTCCACTTTCTTATACTGTGTGGCCCTGGTTGATATCTGGCTCCCGCCTAAGATTCGGAAAATTGGCAAGGAAACCTTTCTTTGCTGCACCTCGCTTCGGGAGGTCATTGTCCCGCCAAAACTCCACTACCTGGGCAATAGAGCCTTCTGTGGATGCGGGCAGCTTGTGCTTTTCACAAAGCTGGATGACACCGATGCGTGAAGAGGTCTTCGCGCAGAAGACAATGCCTTCCTGATATGCGACATGTTTGAGCGTCCATCTTGGATGACATGAAAGAGGGCGTAACATCTCTTTTTTTTGCACGGGTCGAGGCGCTGTGTGTGCAGAGGATGCACAAGTCACCTTAGGCCAGTAAAAGAGAGAGATACGAACCAAGCGGCAAACCGAAATCAGAACAACAAAACACAAACCAACAAATCCAACCCACCCAAAAGGAGCAAGGTTCGTCCTACTGCGTCAGCTAGTAGAAGAGTGAAACCAGGTGAGACATGGGGGCAATGAATTCAGCCTTTGCACTCAGTACTTAACCATCCGGTCATGAGCCTTTTCCTTTCAAAGAGGTTGTGGGATTGAGCACCGCTTTCGAAATCTGTTGGATCCTTCCTGCGGTGATGTGCAATGAGTTTTCAAGCTTTGCAGCCGAAGTTCCTAACTTCAAACAAGGCTTCATCGCTCAGAACACAGTGTCGCAGGGCATGGATGAGCAGTGAAAATCCGACAAACAAGACAAGTCAGAACATCATTCTCAACCTCACAATTGTCGCCATAATCACGAGGAAATGGCTGTGGAGATTGCCGGAGCAGGTTGCGAGGCAATTGCGGGTCAGGGAAAACAACTGAGACAGCAATCAAAGACCACAAATCAGCGAAAGCAAGAGACAGTGAAGCCAAAACAAACAGTGTGGTTGTGGGGTGCAAGTAAGCACCATGCTGGCCGGACTGCTTGCTCTGACGCAGGGCAGGGAAAGACGAACAAGCTCCAAAACAGCCTCTGACCCACTGATGTAGCCAGCGCTGTCTGGCAAAGCGGGTACTGAAAAACAGGAGTGGCTGCCATTGGCTCAAACCAGTAATAGTTGCAATAGTGGCGTTTGCGTGCGCTTGATGGGCAGCAGGGGGTATGACGAGGGAGAACATGCCGGCACTTGCCCCTGCCCCCTCAAGCTATTCACCATAGCAGGCAATGAAATCCAAGTGGTAGTTCCAATAAGCATTTACCATAACTGGGAGATGCTGGAAGACTGTTTGGTAGAGCTGTTATCCAAGAGCTTTGGCCTGGATACATTTGGCTGTTTTTTTTTCCACGAGTACGGACGCCGTGTGGGCATGGTGCCCAGGTCATCGTTGAAGGAAGGGAAGAGCAGTCAGATGGTGGAGAAAAGAACAAAGACCCCGAAACCAACCCAAACCAAACCCCAAGCCCCAGGCCGAAACTCCACCATCTTGTAGTCTTTCCTCTACACTGGGTGAAACATGTGAAACGGAAACTAATGGCAATTAATGGGCCTGAATTCTCGAAAGAAAAAGGTCGACAGCGCAGGTCTGTAGTCAGGAAAGGTCTCCTAGAAGGCTTCAAACGGACTTTCCTTCCCGAAAATTGGTGACCAGCGGCCACACCACAGTGTGGCAAAACAAAGTCACATTGCAGGTCAGCTGTCTCGCGATGCTCCAACGCCGGTTGTAGTCATGTCGACCAAGAGTGACAATATCTGAGCAGCAATTCGTGGAAAAGACCATTCTTGTAGCACAACCCATTCAACTGGTGGCGCATACAAGGTCAGTCGCATGTTCCGACAATAGTCAAACCGTGGCGGCAATTGCTAGCGAGGAAAGCCTGCAGCTAAGGGTGAAGAAGGCACAACCTCCCCGAAGGAAGGCAAACCCAGCACCCTTCGGCACAGCACCGGTGCCACTAGGGGGTGTCTCTTGAGTCAGTGAGGCGCTGCGTAATTGCAAAAAGTGGTCTGCTGCATGCAAGGCCCGTGTGAAACAGGTGAAACTTTGAACTCTCCTAGCATGATATCTGTACCTCTTTGTACAAAATTGGAAATGTCGGACATCAACAGCGGGAACTAAGGTTCCCCCTGGGCATCCTTCATTGCCACTATCCACCACCCGCCGGTTAGGAACGCAGAACTAAGGCTCTCGCTTCTATCGGCTCACCTCGCAGCGACTGGCGAAAAGAGGTCATGGTTCTACTTGGTGTTTGCGCATTTTACTTGCCGTATATGCTGGAAGTCACCGTTTCCTAGTGCTCGGAAACTGACACTTGGCTCTGCTCACTGCCCACGTCGCCCTTGCTCCTTTCCTGCCTCGGAAGCATTGCTGGCCTTTGGTGCAGAATCTAGGAAGTCTTCTCGCCAAAGATCGTTTGCATCAATCGGCAAGACTCGAAGCCACGTGGGCTTATCGAAGTGCTCGCATTTGTCAAAAGCATTAGACTGGGTATATGTCCCCAGCCTGCAAAGGCATGCCTCGCAATGTAAAGCAGGAATGGTGGAGTAGAGACCTCCTTTAGGGAAATACACTTGTAAAAGGCTTCTTGCTTAATGGTCCTCAGCATGCGGGGAAGGCAGAGTTGTTGCAGCTGCGAGCAGTAAGCAAAGGTTGAGCCTAGAATCTCAAGTACGTCTGTTTGGGACAGATCAACGATTTGCAGCTGCTGGCAGCTCACACAGGCAGCGAAGCCTATCCTGTTGAAGCTCGTAGGCAAGGCCAGTTCAACAATGCCAGACTCCTTGCGGAAAACCGAAAGGTTACGCCTGCGTCTTACGCGTACCTTACAC